TGTCACTCATGTCTCCCAGCTGACCTGGGAAGGCCTTGGGGTCCCCCCTGATGAGCTTGAGGAAGTGTGTGTTGATAAGGGAGTATGGGCGTCTCCGATGAGACTGCTGCCCCCGCGTTTAAGTTTATGAAAATGGATGGATGAATATTAAGCACCGCTGCACAGACTCCTGGCCCTCAGCCAAGCGTTTATCTGTGCTTCTGCAAGTCCTTTGTTTATGGCAATATTTTTATGATTTTATTACATAATATTAATCTCTTTGTGTTTTATATTTAAAGTGTTATTCAAGGTCAAAGCCGGCTGAAGTTAGGTAATCCACGAGGCAGCCTATCCCCCAGCCAGTTTGGGTCAACATGGCTTTTGTAAACACTGGTCGCTGCTATTTGAAGCTTTCAACACCAAACAAGATAGTTTCTGTGTCCGAGTGGTTTCCCCCATTAAAGCTTGGGTACATAACTTTCATCCTAAAATTTTAACTATGCAATAAAATTCATCAATAATTCCATACTCAGAACAGCTTGGTTCAAGACCAGATGATGGATACAAGCGGTTCACATGGGTTTTCTCCGCTTCGCTCCCTTAAGTTGTGTTTACACCGCCGATGGACACATTGATATACGTTCACTGGATTTCAGTCGCATTAGTTTAGAAAATCTGCCGTACTGCCCTGTGATGCCGCAAAACATAAGGCAGAAGTGGTGGGCGGCCTTTGGTGCAAACAAGTTTAAGATAGCAGCTTTTTTAATACAGTTCTCCTCCACAAGTGAAGGTCCTCAACAATTTTACGGTCCCGGGATCCTCCAGAGACATTATATTACAGAAGTATCTGTTCACAGAGCTGCACCATGGATGTTTTGTATTATTAATCAGTACTTCTGCAACTACCCTTTAGTAGCACTTCTTTACAGTCACCACCCATGAGAGACTGAGAACTCAAGCTTGAGGCATATGTTCACAAGCACTGTGTCCCCCATCGTCAGTCCCCATTGTCAGCCAATGACTTTGCATTAAAACTTGGTCCGGTCTGAACGCTCCTTTTGATAGAGGAGCTCAGTCACACGAGAGAAGCTCAGAGTAGAGCTGCTGCTCCCTCAGAGATAGAGCAGCTCAGTCACAAAGGAGGAGCTCAGAGAAGAGTCCCTGCTCCCTTAGAGATAGAGGAGTTCAGTCGCATAGAAGGAGCACAGAGTATAGCCGCTGCTCCCTTAGAGATAGGGTGAGGAGTTATGTCACACAAGGAGTGCTTGGAGGTGAGCGGCTGCTTCTCACCATCAGGAGGAGCCAGTTGGAGCAGCTCACGGAATCTTCTTTTTGGGGGTACCTCCTGGAACAGTGCCAGGCCTGTCCCAGCAGGAGGAGACCAGAATGAGACCAGAATAAAATCCAGGACATTTTGGAGGGTCAATGTCTATAGAGCAGGGGGTCAAACTCATTTTGGTTGGGGGCCAAGTTTAAAAACATAAGTAGTAGGGAAGTCTCTGCTTAAACTGCTGCCTCTTGACCCGTTAACATTGTCATTGGTTTTCTTGCTGAACCCAAAAAATGAAAAACTCTTTTAAAAAATTAGACATTACAAAGTTATACTTCGTCAGCGCTAACATATTTTGGCACAAAAGCCTTCTTTAAAAGTTCTGAACTTTAACTCCCTGTGCTTTATGAGTTTAGTGGAATTTCTGTTATTATAGAGAACACTGCTGACATGTATTAAAATGTCAGCTGAAGCCGCACTTCACATAGGTACAGACTGCAGTCTGTAACTATTTCCTTTTCCCTTTACTTTTGAAATCCGTATTTTTATACAGATTTTTATTTTATTTTATTTATTGTTTTTATTATTCCACACTTTTTTGCAACAGACACACAGCAGGCTATGCTCTCAACATGAATGGCGCACAACTGGAACCACAGGCTAAATTACATTCTGCTAATTTGTCTGCCTCACTGGTGTGAGCATAAGCCAATGTGCACAGGCCATTGATTTGAATGAGCAGACATCTTGCGCTAGCATACCTAGCCGGTGGGGGTGGACCCAAGAAGAGAATAATACAACAAAACAATGGAGAAATGTACATGTCACATTTGGCATAGATAGAATGGCGACTTCTTTCCTCTTGAAAACGGATTTACAGGATGATCCAAAAGTCGACTCTTGGCCCAAAGCTACGTTCTAGATGCGTGTTAATGCTGAGGGAATTTTTTTAACCACTCTAGTTTAACTGCTGTGGACTTTAGAAGGTACTAGTTAAATGAGTGACATTTGTGTCTTAATTTGTTCATATTTAAACTTTATACAAAACTCACGGAATTTATGTCCGCCATATTGGATTACTTTGGCATGCACAGGTTTTCAATACATCAAACAGCTGCTGTTTAGGATGTAAACTCAACAAGTGGCGCAACTCGACAGAACACTGGCTAACAAATGTGCAAATGCGTGTTTTCACATTTTCCTGCCCCCACGGCCATTTTGAAAAAGCCCCATAGAAGCCAAAAGTGATGGTACATTAGTTTCAACGGCGGAGATAGGCGTGACTACGTTCATTCATATTTACAGTCTATGGCGTGAACCATGCAAGCTCTCCATTAATACATAATAACAGTGGTGGGCCCTCAAGGCGCGGAAGGCCTAACCCAGCCTAAACATAAACATGAATATATTTTCTAATATTTATATTTCCACAAATATGTATTAAATGATTCCCCGCAGTCTATACTCATTTCATAGTTTTTCTACATTAGTTGTGCAGCTTCCATCGCAAGGTCGATATTTGAAGGCTGGTTTTTCTGTTTAAGTCTTTATCCAATCATTATTCAGCATCATGTGTTGCCAGGTTCCAGAATCTACCTTTAGACTTCAGAAGCAACAGTGCTGATCCATGGAGTTTAAAGTGAGGGATAAGAAACCTATGGCATTGATCAGTCAGCAGCTTAATAACGTAATAAATCTTCTAGAAAAACTTCTCATTTGTGTGTGTGTGTGTGTGTGTGTGCATGTATGTGTATGTGTTTCTGTGTATTAATGTATTATTATTACATGTGTTTCCTTTTCTTGTTCATCTATATTTCTTTCTCGCTGTTATAAACTGTTTCTCTTTTCCCACCTACCAGAGTGGGTGTTTCTTCAATGTTAGACCCTCAATTTGGCCAAGCTTTTTTTCTCAATTCCACAAACATCTGCCCAGAATCCAAAATGTGAGTGATGTTTTCTCCTTTGACAATCTGTCTGACTGAATATGTCATGCTCTTTCACACCTGACTGAATCATGGAGAAAATTGCATCAGCTTTCCGCATACAGACACAGAGACTTTCTCCTTCGTGCAAATATTTAATACTTTAAATATCAAGACACGGTGATGTCTGGTGTCGTCCTTCTCTCCTCAATGCCTCTTGCTCCATGTCTCTGCTGCTTCAGGACACAATGAACATCAGAGACAGAGCGGAGTTAGACATTGACTCATGTCACTCATTAGCACATTGTGTTTGTATCTGCTAGGATCAGACACTTCCTACTCACTTTATGTTATGTTAATGATTTGAAAACAATTGTAAATTTCCTGGTAATGTCTAACAGGAAATAAGTTCTTGTGCTTCATAGCAAGAAGGTCCTGAGTTCAATTTCACCTCCAGGACATTATCCTCCGGGTTTCCCCTATACACTAAAAACATGTACAATAGGTCTGCAGGAGGCACATACCAGTAATATGTTTATTTACTATTTTGCTCTTGTTTCTGCAATGTAATGTAACGATGGCAATGTTACAATGAGATAATTGTAACATTGCCATCGCCCTAAAAGGTGTTAAATTCATATTAGGGATATTAAAAAGGGTTAAATTCAAATTAGGGATGTGGTTGTTTTCTCTAGAATGTTTAATTAGCTTTAAAACCATATAGCAGGCCGTAGTAGAGCATACTCTGAGTTTGTAGCTGTGTACCCCTGGGGTCTGCATGCCCCCAGTTGGGAAACACAGGTCTAATTAAAGGCTCACACATGTAAACATAATTTTCACTGGAGAAATTTCCAGTGTTTTATTTATAAAAAACTGCCCTCACTCCATGATGTCATGGTGTAAAGCTTCACTGTAAGAATTGGAAAAAGGACCATTTAGACAGAAGGGGTGGGGGGAAATCTTCTGTATGATGCCTGAAAAGAGTAAAAAGATTAACTGTGGTGCTCGCAGTAGCTTCCAAACAATTGTGTTGTGATTGCGTGATGTAATCTACTCATGAGCCAACGTATGTGTCAAAGACAACGATTGCGAACATATTGTTTTTATATATATCTGTTTTATTTTTACTGTCTGCAGCTCCTCCAGAGTAACTGGACCTCTTGACCACATCTGCAACCAGTGTTGTCCTTGTTTGAGCTGGGTTTGATCAGACAGCCGAGTATGGGTAGATTTGCTGTGGTGAAATAATAGTACAAAACATGCACAAACGTTTCAGTTCTGTTAACACTTGCAAACCTTAAATATTGATCTTAAATAAGCAGCTCGTGGACAGCACTTGGATGGGAGTACACTTTGAAAGCAGATGCCAGTGCGAGACTATGGTATTGTTAATTGGTAGTATTGTTTTGGAATGGGAGACACCAGGTGCGGCTGTAAAGCTGCAAACTGGTGTTGTGTCCACACTAGTGTGTGTGTGTGAATGGTTAGTGGTGGTGGGAGGGGCACAAACTGATTTCCTAGCTTCAGTTTGTGTGCCCCATGGCCGCTGTGGCTACTGGAATGAAAGAATAATGACATGTCTTTGAGTATCCAAAAAAAGCGCTGTATAAAACTAATGCCACACAGATCGGCCCCTCTCAAACCAGCATCAAACCAAATTTCAAAAACAAAAACCATCATTCATGCATGCAATTGCGTCACACTGCTGTATTGCAATGCTGAGGTTAGGGGGCGGGGCTAGTAGAAGTGCTTTTAAATACTCCTGCAGTGAGCTGGCCTCTCATTCACCACAGTCTTCCCTTTATAGAGACAGTCCTTCCTTTGCAAATATGTTCCTGAGCATCGCTCTCATCTGGGCTGTGGTGGTGGGGCTCTGCTGCCTGCTGTGGCTGGCTCTGGGCATCCGACGCAGGTACAGACACCGCTTTTTCTGAGACTTGAGTAACGATTTTATTGAAATGAAATGTGTTTTGTCATTGCTGGGTTACCTAAATTTCAAAACCACAAAAGATTGAACTAAGTATTATCACTCTCAAAAAAGTTATTTTACAACTATTATCCTCATGCACTATGTGTGTACCCGAGCTTTAGATTTGGGAGATTATCTTGAAGTGTATAGAAATATAGTGTGTGTATATATATATATATATATATATGTATATATATATATATATACGAGAACACAATTTTGATCTATCAAACCTGAATTGATCTATGAATTCAGGTTTTTTGACTATTTGCAAGAAAAGAGTCATAGTCTTTGCAAAACTCAGGTCACAAAGTTACAACGTGGTTCAGATATGATCCTACAATTGACAAGAAAAATAAATCTGTACCAGGCATGTCCAAGGTACGGTTCTTATGTCATTTTATATGGCCCTCTGCCAAAGTACCTAAGTAGCTGTGGTACCTAAATTTCAAGCCACAGTAAATTAAACTATGTAAACTATTTGTGGCTCTTAAACTGTTCAATTCTATCAATAATTTTAACATGCTTGTGTTTGTGGTCAAATCTTTTGAAAAGTTAAATCCCTCACTCAGCCATTTAGCTCTCAGACCAAAGCGTCAAATATTGACTCACTGGGTTCATTCTCACATTCAGTATAATTTATTTGTTTATCGCCCCAAAACAGTGGTTATCTTAGAGGACTGGGAGGCCCATATTGAGAGAGGGATCTGCTACCATGTATGAACAGGCTGTAGAACCAGCACCGAGGCTCTAGATCCAGGATTAATGCTATAGATCAAGTACTGAGGGTGTACTGTAGATCCAGGACTGTGCGGTGCAGGTCCCAGTCAGGGAAGGGGGGTGCAGCCCATGAGTCCACAGGTGCACAGAAGATAACATGTTCTCTGTAAATATAAAGACAGTATATTGTGGCCTGATGTGTTCAGACATTATTTAAAAGACAACATGTATTATTTCTGAGGCTGCAAACCCCAGCTATGACAAGAAGTGGAAAAGGAATGAACGGGACATTCCCAATAATATTCTTGGACTGGAATGATAGCATTCATGATAATGCTTACCCCTTGTAGATCATATTAATTTGTTTTGCAAATATTTTGCCAATGGTGATGTTTAACCATTTAGACAGGTGCTTTTTTCGGTTCATTGCCCCAGCATGTCTAACATGCTAAGTATGAGTAATAAGCAAGATGTCTAAAGTGCGCCTTCACATATGACAGGACCTGTTTGGCATGAGGTTGAGTGCTTCTCAAACACTAACTGCTTTGTCTATTGTCATTTTTCAGCTGCACACAACTAAATGACCCGATTTGCAAATGTTCTCTACTTATAGCTGGACAATTCTAACTCACTTACTCAATAAACCCCAACAGAGAAGTGCTCATGGGGAAGTTTTGCTCCTCTCGCTGGCTCCTATTGACGTACATGTAAAAGTAAACTCTTCCAACTCAGTAACTGTGTCACACTCACCCTTTTGGGCTTAAATCTGTGGTTAAGTGCTTTCTGTGATCCGGGTGTTTATACTGTGATATTGTCTTTGTGAATACAGAAATGAGCAATATAAGATTTAATTCCCTTTCAGACTCTGAGGCCCTGTTTTCACAGAGACGCTGTAATAGTAAGACGATAGAGTTGACTCTCGGATTGGCGTCGGTATTTGGCAGTGAAAATGCAAGCTTTGAAAAACAACAATAAAACTAAATAAAAGGGGCCATATTGCAGCCCTGTGAACACAAAGATCACACAACAATGGTGGTGGTTCAACTTTTGCTGTTTGCTTCAGCAGCTATTTGAGTAGTTTAGTCCCTTGAAACAGAACTTTCATAGAACAATCGTGTTTGTCGTTTCTGAATGAGCATCAAAACCACGCAAAGCTGTAGTTTCAGTTTGTTGCTGCTACTGTTAAATGCAGAATGATGTTGGTGAAATATTATCCGTCTCTCCGGTGCCAGAGGAGGATTACTGGTGGGTGTTGCGGTTGTTATGTTGTAGAGTTCCACTGCCCACTACTGGCTGGGTGCTATAAATACATTGTTTTCACTCACCGTGTCAATGCTTTGCACTTCGAATCCTGGTTGTTTTTCTAAGTGCTTGTCTACGTTTCTGCGTAAATAGAGTCTCCAGTGGTTTTTTCGACATTCCTTTGTGACGCTCCTCTGACACGCACACACAGAAGCCACCCTACGCTTCACCTCAGTACAGGCTTGTTGTTATTGCATACAGGTTTTTCAGGTGGCGCGATAGCAAAAAGTCAAGCTCTGACAATCAAAATCCAATGTTATTTATCTCTTGTCTGTGGATCAGGCCACACGCCTCAGAAGTCTCACAAGATGACCGCCTTCACATGCATTCAGAGACTTAATAAGGTTCATTAGTGAAAGAACTTCAAGTGCTTTGAGTGTGGTTATTTTCAGTAATTGTAGTTTTATAACATAACAAAAACATGGAGTTATTCATAGTAAATAGGAGGAGGAGGAGGAGAAGATTAAACCACCTTACAAAAAATCAGGTAGTTTCCATGCATTGCATCCTCTGTCACATCTTTCGACCAGCTCTTTGAGACAGAAAAGTTAAAAAGGGAGGAGAACCCTCACTCAGCTCGTAGCCAAACAGCAAATATAACGTGAAGCAGTACACGTGCTCCAACAATCCAATCATGTCCTTTTTAATGCATCTTAGACACACACACACACACACACACACACACACACACAATCCTTAGAGACAGCAGATTAACAGGCAAAGAAGGTGGAGGCTGGAGTATCTCATAACTCATTTTACATAAATGTAAATTGTATTAAATAATGTTGGTGTTGATGATCTTTTTAATTGACTTTATGTTTATCTTTTTATTTTATTTTATTTTATTTTATTTTCCTAGCACGCACGCTTGCACACACACATACACACACACACACATCTCCCTCCCTCCCCATATGGTATTGTTTCATGTTCTCTCGATATTTGTTTTTCTTTGTATGTCCCCATGTTTTGTCGCTGCCTCAATGTTTTCTACACGCACATGCACGCACACACACATCTCCCTCCCTCCCCATATGGTATTGTTTCATGTTCTCTCAATATCTGTGCTTACACACACACACACACACACACACACACACACACACACACACAGCCCATTATGTAATGTTTCATGTTGTCTCAATATTTGTATCTCTTTGTATGTCCCCATGTTTTGTCGCTGCTTCAACATTCTTTTTGCCGTCGTACCAATCATTTTCACTTTTGTATGTCTATGTGTCACTCTTGTATGTCTATGTATCACTTTTATGTATGTCTATGTATCACTTTTATGTATGTCTATGTATCACTTTTATGTATGTCTATGTATCACTTTTATGTATGTCTATGTATCACTTAATAAAGGAAAAAAAATAAAAAATACAGCAAATATAACATGATTTGTTCCCAACATTTGACTTATACAACTCAATATCATAAGGTATCCCATCTTTCATTGAGAAAAACATCATTATTAGGCATTAATAATTAATGTAATTTGTATAAGACAAAAAGCTGGGTTAAAAGCTGGTTGCATTCCAACACGGAACAAAGCATTCTGTATGCGTCACTTGCTCCATGTACAACGTCATGTAACTTGCACAACAGTAGTAGTAACAGTAGTAATACCTGCCAGAGAGGCCGGAGAGGGACCTGAGAGAGACCAGAGGGAGGCCAGAGAGAGAGAAAGACCAGAGAGACCACTGCCGTGTTCCCTGGAGTTCAAACAGCCACAACAGTCTGTGTACATGTCTGACCTATTGCACTATCCAGTATGCACAATATTTGAGGATTTACAATTCTCCTCTGATAAAATGTATGTTATACACTTAATTCAATCAAATACCGCAAAATGATTTCTTCCTTTTGAATGAGACGTTTGTTGTTTCTAGAGACTAATTCTACTTGATTATCTGTTACTTGACTCACAATTCAAGAATTTTAAACTTCCACAAACATCAATTGATCTTTATAGAGACTTTAACCATTTATTCTGTCAAAGAAGGAAAGCCTACGGACGAGGTAAACATAGGGTTTGTGTACCTAACTTTTTTATTTCTTAAATGACAAAAGTTTGTCCCTGAATGCAGGCCCGTCGCAAGGGGGGTGCGAGGCCCTGTGCGAACTCGAAACGCGAGGCCCTGCCCTGACACTTTTTTCCCAGATCTGAGGAAAGTTTTTCCTGTTATAATCTTTGACATGAATTCAGCACCACCTCGCGCGGTGCTTGACGAGATCAGCACGCGTGTAACCGAGTGTCTTCGCTCCTATGCAGCGTTTGGCGCGCGCACGTACACACGCACACACACTCTACGGCACTTGGTATTGCAATATTGGTCGCGGTCTTTTTAGCTGACATGTCTCTTTCGTCCTGTGGCAAAATGGTAGAGCAACTCAAAAGATTGAACCAAAAGGAGTCTTTTTCTTCTAATAGTTAGATTTTGGCAAAATGCGCCAAAATGGCTATGAGGCGGAGTCAATATTATTATTTTTTTCTCATCAAATAACGTTTTTGCCATGCCTCCACACACTCTGACAACATACGCTCCTCCTCCTCCACACTGACAACAACAAAATAGCGAACTATCTAAATGACGTCACTAAGACACGCCCCCGCCGCCTGTCAACTCCCGCCCACATGTTTCGGACAAACACTGCCGAAATGAATCAAATACCACTTGTCACTTTAGACGAAAATGATATACCAGGGGCAAAATTCCACCATCAAACCATCAGGGATCATAGTGTAGACCAATTATAACGTTGGCTTGAATGTCGTGGTCTTCCAGTAACTGGTAGAAAGTTTGAATTGATAAAAAGATAATGGTGAGGATTATGCTAACATTATCTAGTCATTTAAATTGCAATGCTAGCGCCTTCTTTGTTTGTTTTGCTGTGATTAACTTCCATTTATCAAGTTGTTTTTGCACTATCCACTTTGTAATTAGTTTGATCATTAGTTAGCTACAGTCAGCTGATATTATAATAAATCCATGATCACAACGGGCTACGCCACTACTGTCTCTGCAGAGAGAAACTATCAGAGCTAGCCACACTCAGTAAACGCAAATGACAATCAATCGACACATTTAAATGTTAATGGGAGAATACATTATACACATTCATAACACAAGTGCACGGAGGTTTTCAGAATTAACTGTTCAGGTTTTCATGACAAAAATACTTTTTTAATGCGACTAAAGCGATCGCTTTTAGGTTAACTATCCTCACTGTTACTCGCCTGCCACGGGAAAACCTTTGGGAACTATTTTCTTTGCACTCATTAAATAAACCTTTCGGCATGAGTAGTGAATGACATTTATTTTGTGTGTTCAATTGGTACAAAGCCGTATAATAAGCAGACACAAAGTTGAAAAAAATCCCTCTCATCTTTCTTCAGGTGTGAGAATTGTATACTTTCTGGATTAGGACAAACAATACTAATATGGATTGATGGGGGTAAATGGTGTAAAGAGAAAGTTTGTGCTAACTACATTCAGAAGAGCTCAGACGGACCTGATACAGCGGTCCAGATCCAGTCCCAGCTAAACGTAGCTAGGACTGGATCTGGATGCTCCACAGTTGGTCCAGCGAAGTGTTTTGAAAAAACATGTGCCCTTTTTAACCTTTTCATGAGAGAAATTCTGCCGACCACAAGCACCCACCTGGTCTGATCTGGTCCTGGTCTGGTCCTGGTCTGGTCCGATGTTGTGGTTTAACGAACGGGTTGAATGTTACTTTCATATAGTCCTTTTCAGAGTATCTGAAATCGCTCCGACAAGCACCATAACTGCAGTGTTTTGTTGTCACCATGATTCAATGATTTAGCCCAAATAAATACACACGCGTATGAGGAGAACACAGTAGAACGTCGTACACAATGTTTGTCCGAAACATGCGCGCATGCGCAGTCATCTGAGCTATTTTTAGCACATTTCGGAAACCGGACAGTGCCCTATACTCTTCACCTCCTCCTCCACACACTCTGACCACAACAAAAACACTCCAGCTAGCTAAAGCTAGACATACAGTGTGTTTGCTAATGCTTTTAAAAATATGTTTTTGATGTGGATATTCGGACTAAACATTGGCAATAGCAGTAGTGATGAGTCGTGCCGCGTCAGCGCTTCGGGGCGTGAGCCGAGAAATCCCTGAAGTTTTTATCGGAGCGCGGGCCGAAGCCTGAGTTGTTTTAGATGAGTGACGTCACCAATGACGTTTGAAGCCTCGGGAGCACAGGAAATGGAGCGATTCATGAAGTACTGCAGAAGATCCGCTCAAACTGTGTGTTTGTCTTGATGATTAATGTAGTCAGTGATGGAGAGGCTTGTGGACAAGCTGGTTGGCTCAATTGATAGGGAATCAGGGCTGGGACCTGGGAGACCGGGGTTCGAATCTCACCGGGAGTGCGTCGATGTAAATACACGAGAAAGAATTTTGTCAGAAATGTTTTGGTTTTGAAACAACTGATGGGGTCACAATCCCAAATGATATCCCCATTTGTGTCACGTCCTTTGAAAAGCACTTACACTTTCAACATGTTTTTTGTCCCATTGGATTTATAAATAAATATATTTTGACTTGAAAAGCTATAATCATTCATCATTAAATATGTATATAAATATATATCTACATATATGTATGTGTGTGTGTGTGTGTGTGTGTGTATTAGAGCAGACAACTGTACCAGTTACCAGTACATTATAATTGTATTGTCATTTAAAATATATTCCTTTTCACTACTGATAGTGATCATAATGAAACAGATGAATTAATGGGTCATACACAATCAAATTACATTTTTATTTCTGTTACCAGTATTAGTTCCTATGCACCAAGAGCCTCACAAACAGTTCAATTGTCAATACAGATTTTGACCAACAGGAGGTTTGTGAGCATATGAAGCATCAAGAAATGAACCTTTTCTCGAAACAATGGATGAAAAGGTTCAACACTTCATGAAGCTTCATCAACCCATCACTAAATAGCAGCGCTCACACACCTGTCACACCGCTGATCCTCCTCCTCCTCTGCTCACACAAAGGGGTCTGCTCCTCTGCTCACACCTGTCTCACTGCTCCTCCTCCGCGAGTATCCGGCCCCGTCCCAATACTCGCACTTCCACCCTCGCGCCCCTCATTTGCGCGTTCCCGATAAAGGGTGCGAGTGCGTAGGGTGTCCCAATTCTCCAGGGAGGTCTTTGGCCCCGCCCCCTTTGCGCCCCTGATCCACACTTCACCGTAGCCTGCATCTATGCGCACTCTGGCGAAGGATATTGCTATAATTCTTTGCGGTACACACCAAAACGTCGGGAAAATGCATTTAAATATACATTTTGAAATATATATGCACTATGTGTGTAAATAAGTTTTGCTATGTTACTTGGAAAGAAGCATAAACGTCTGATGAAGAATTACGGACATTGTGTTTTAACAATTTAATAACTTTTTAAACCAAGCGTTTATATAACATTCAATTTAAACTTTATACTTAGTACAATAATTTTAGAATGTATAAAAACTGACCAGATAGTTAGTTACCCACATTTAACTTAAAATTATACAGCTATCTCTAATTAAAAACCACTAATATACATGTATTTTAACGTGTGTGAAGCAATTCAATTTGTTTCCCAAAGGGTCAGACAAAATTACCTTTAATTTTTATAAAGTTTAGGTCTGAAAATGACCATCTCTTGACGAGTCGATGACGTAACCTGCACTCAGTGTGCACTGTCCCAATTCCGCCTTTTGAGCACGCTTGCAACCTGCGCACTCAAACCCTTGCGCGCACTTCAAACAAATGCACACTTCATAGGAGGGCGTAGGGTGCAGTGTGGGTATTGGGACTGGGCCTCCATCTCTCCTACACTGCGATCATTCCCGTTACTTTCTTTGTATCTCACTCAGACACTGCTAAAGTTATCTGACAGTTTTTTCGGAGGACCCGCTGCATACATAGCTGCCCGCGCGCCTGCCTGTTTACAAATCGCTTTTGGTGAAAATTTGACTTTACTTGTAAAAATGTTCTTTTGATCAAACGAAATCAAAGAGGTCCAGAGAAAGGGGTTTAGGGTTCCAAATTTGGAGTGCAGTCTGCCCTTTGGGGACCCTTGAACTAGTGTATTTATAAAATAAAATAAAAGGAAGGAAGATTGCGAGGCCCCTGTGTGGTGCGAGGCCCTGTGCGACGGCACAGGTCGCACAGCCCTTCCGACGGGCCTGCCTGAATGAGAGAGGTCCCTAAAAGGCTGATCTAAAGATGTGACAGAGGCCAAACATACGAAAACTCGTAATAGACTGAGTGAGAGCCAGGAACTAGTCACATGGATTTTATCATATAGTTATATTTGTGGATTGAAAGTTAGGAACCGCTGCTTTATCAATTGCTTGGTTTTCCTGCTGTACAAACATCTCCACTGATTTGCCTCCTCCCCAAATTCCTCTGACTGGTGTTGCCCTTGACCCACAGACAGCCTGGGGAGCCAGTGGTGGAGAATGGCTTCTTCCCCTACCTGGGCTGTGCGCTGCAGTTTGGAGCCAACCCTCTGGCCTTCCTCCGGGGGAGACAGAAGAAGTACGGACACATATTTACTTGTAAAATCGCCGGACAGTACATCCACTTCCTCTGCGATCCTTTCTCCTACCACTCCGTCATCCGGCAGGGGCGCCACCTGGACTGGAGGAAGTTCCACTTTGCCACATCGGTCAAGGTAAGGATTGGTCCCATCAAAACATTTTCAAAAGAAACTCAAATCCCAAATTCAAGTTGTTTTTCCTAGCAGACCTGGGGCCGTACAGTATGCCTAAAGATTCTGAGAGCCCTCTCAGAGAGCTCCTAACTTAACCTAAAAACTCCTTGCTTAAAAGTTATTCCAGAACATTCTCAGAGAACTCTGAGCAAGGAATGGACAAAAACTCCTATCTTAGTGAGGAGGCGTGGCTGACCCCGTTGCTAGGTATGGTCATCATTTCAGACACTGTGATTGGTTGATCCTAAAAGTTAGAGAAAACATACTTTTGGGCATAATGGGCAAAACAAGGACCCTCAAATGGACAAACTTAATCATTGAATCTCATCATGGAAGACTGTATAATTGTAAATAAAATTCCAAATATAATATTCATAGATAGATAGATAGATATGTCAATGTAAAATTAAGGCTGTGAATAGTAAGTTATACTTTTAAATCATCATAACATAATGTCTCTTTTAATGTACAGCAAAGGACCCAAAGCAAAGGGTGGTCTGCTGTTCACAGGCTGCTCCCCTCTGGAGACAGATCTGTGAACGCTATGACTCCCTTTATGAATAACACACCATGAAATAAAAGCTTGCTCAACACTAATTATTAAATTGAACTCATGTGTAACATAAGCACGTATTATATTCAATATTAAATATACATAAGATATTTTATAATCATATTTAATTATTATATACAATATACATAGAAAATTATAAATATGAATAACATATGGATATATAGTAATGATGATGACATTATGATTAGTAAAGGCTGTGATACTGAAAGACGTAAAAGGTATTAAGGAAACAAAAATATAAACATATTACATACACTGTACAAATCAAGTGCATATTATTGTGAATGTCACTGATGCATAACTGTAAATATACCAGTGACTAAGCTAATCTATAGGTTTATTTAGAATAATAAATAGGGGGTGGGAGTTTTAAAGTCTTAACTTTTTCCCACTCCTTTTCGAGCTGGATTTTTTTAAATGAAAAAAAACATACAGTATATTTGTTTATTATCATGTATTGTTTCTTTATCTATTCTGTTGTTTTATTTCCTCTTGTTTTCTATGGCGCGAAATAAAGTATTCATTCATTCATACTCAATGTGTGAAGACTTAGGACTACTTGCACAGTATTAACACAGTGATAGTTATATATATTTGCTTATATTAATTGCCATGCTGGTTAGGGGTGGGAACCTAAGGGTACATCACGATACGATACGATACACGATACAAAGCTCACGATAACGATATTGTCACGATAACAATATCACGATAACGATTTTATCACGATATGACGATTATTGATATATTGGTCAGAAATATACAATATGCCAATTTATGGCATAAATAAGAGAAAAAATACACTTTATTTCATGATAAATGGAATGGAGCCGCGTAATGTAGCCATATATTAAGTATTGATACCAATTTAAAAAATATATTTGTAAAAAAAAAAAATATTGATTTTGAAAAAAATAAAATACATATGATTTTTTTTTTTTTCTAAATTGATATCGATACTTGGCAAATGCATATCGATAATCGAATCGCGGGAGAAAGTATCGCAAAATATCGAAAAATCGATATATATCGATACATCACACCCCTAATGCTGGTCATTTTTCTCTTTCAACTTTTACCATTTCTACTCACTTTTGTGAAACAATGGTAAAATGGCACAGCTGTGTTTGCTGACCAGCTTATAAGGAGCTGGTCACATGGTTGACTTTTTAATATACCACAAACATGATTCCTGCAAGATCCAATCTGTAGAGTTTCACTTATTCATTGTCATCCAGTGTTTGTAGAATATCTCTCCTGCCTTTTCCGTCCGCCATTTTGTCCTCTTAGGGAACCTTTAAGTTGCTAAAAGTCCTTCATCCACTCTTAAGGGATCTCACCTTAGGAGCTCTCTTAAGAGCTAGGATTCTTTAGGCATAGCTTTTTTCTTAACTAATATCTACTCTTCACTTAAAGGGGAAATTCAAAGAGTAGGTCAAGATCTTAAGAGTATTCTTAGAATTTGGCCACTAGGAGATACTTTTAGCACTAAAAATCTTTAGGAATACGGCCCCAAGTCTAAAGACCCAGTCCTTTTAGACCAGGGGCCATATTCCTAAAGATTCTTAGTGCTAAAAGTTGCTCCTAGCGGCCAAATTCTACGAATTTTCTTAGAATCTTGACCAACTCTTAGAATTTCCCCTAAAAGTGAGGAGTAGCTTCTAGTTTAGAAAAAAGCTATTCCTAAAGAATCCTAGCTCTTAAGAGTGCTCCTAAGGTGAGATCCCTTAAGAGTTGAGAAGAGGACTTTTAGCAACTTAAAAGTTCCCTAAGAGGTCAAAATGGTGGACGGTAGAGGCAGGAGAAATATTCTATACACTGGATGACAGTGAATCAGTAAAACGCTGCAGATTGGATCCTGCAGGAATCATGTTTAAAAGTCAATCATGTGTACACAAATATACAGTTTTGTTTTTAACAGCAATCCAGTTCAAAAAGGAGTGTGAAGAAGTTAATACTTTTAAACTCCCACCCTCTATTTATCATTCTAAATTAACTTAAATAGTGTGGTTGCTACAGCTTAGTTTATTCCATGGTGTATTTACAGTTATGCAACAGTGACATTCACAATAACATGCACTTGATTTGTGTATGTATATTTTTCCTTAATTCCTTTTACGTCTTTCAGTATCACAGCCTTTACTAATCCTAATGTTATCATAAATCATCTATATATATATATATATATATATATATATATATATATATATATATATATATATAAATAAAGTGCTCATGTTATATACGTTTGTTAAATATGTGTGATAAATTGGTGCTGAGCAAGCTCTAATGATGTGGTGTAAAAGTCAAACTTACAACAGTAAGTTAGACAATATTAGTAAATACATCTGACTTTCTACCTTTTCTGATTATTTACAATGACACAGTATTCCTAAGATTAGATTCTATGATTGAGTTTGTCCATTAGAGGATCCTTATTTTGCCCATTATCAAAAATATGGTTTCTCTAACTTTTAGGATCAACCAATCACAGCGTCTGAAATGATGACTCATACCTAGCAACGGGGTCGGCCACGCCTCCTCACTAAGATAAGAGTTGTTGTCAATTCCTTGCTCAGAGTTCTCTAAGAGTGTTCTGGAATAACTTTTAAGCTAAGACTCCTAGCTAGGAGTTTTTAGGTTAAGATAGGAGCTCTCTGAGAGGACTCTTAGAATATTTAGGAATACGGCCCCTGGTCTAAGAACCCTATTATTACTATTGTACTTTAGTTATAACCACAAAGAAGATATTATCTTTGTTATTTTCTTTATGTTCTGGGTTTACACATTTACATGTGACAATTGCTTGAATCTATGGATAAACAACTCCAGGTCTGTGACTGGCGAGGAACAATGGGCTTCATTCACCAATATCTTCTTAAGAATCTTCTTAAATTTCTTTCTCAAGTCGTTCTTAAGTAGATTTCTAAGAAGACCCTGCGTGGGATTCATCAATGCGTTCTCAATGAATTTAAAAATTGGCTAAATTACCACAAAAAATGAAATGAATAAATACATGTATCAATATGACGGTCCTATCACTGTAATGTTGCGTTTTATTGACAAAAGAAAACAACACCAACGTGTCGGCACTGAATAGGGCTTAAGAGTGCTCCTGTGTATTTGTAGCAATTGTTGCTGCCTAAGAAAAATCCTGGGTACGAGAAAAATTCATTAATGCCGCAATCCTCGTAAGTAGGACTTAAGAACAAATTTGTTCTTAAGAACAATTTGTGAATGAAGCTCGATGTTGTATAATGGTTAAAAGTTCATCATAATGTCTCCATTAACTCTCCCCGTCCACACTGTAAACCCTGCGCCTGTGATCCCAGGCATTTGGACACGAGAGCTTCGACCCTCGACACGGACACACCACAGAGAACCTCCACCAGACCTTCCTGAAGACGCTGCAGGGAGAGGCTCTGCCCTCGCTCATCCAGACCATGATGGGACACCTGCAGGACGTCATGCTGTGCTCCGACACTCTGCGACCCAGCGTTCACAGCTGGGAGGTGGACGGCATCTTTGCCTTCTGCTACAAGGTAAACTCCCAGTGCATCATCTCTCTGTTGTCTCTCTGTGGTCTCTCTGCAGTCTCTCTGTGGACTCTCTTTGTGGTCTCTGTGCGGTCTCGCTATGGTCTCTCTTTCTGGTTTCTTTTTGGTCTCTCTGCGGTATATCTGTGGTCAGTTTATCCATATCCAGCAAATAACTAGATTGAAATCCCCAGCTGAAATCTACAGTATACAGTATATTGTGTAGCCATCAGTGTGAGTGAGGGTGGTCCTCTTCACATTTGTAAAACACCAGATTGAAGCCCATCGTAAACTGCTGGTGTTCTCAAGGTGATGTTTGAGTCTGGGTACCTCACACTGTTCGGGAAGGAGCTAGGAGAGGACAAAAGCCAGGCTCGGCAGGCGGCTCAGAAGGCCCTGGTCCTTAATGCTCTGGAGAACTTCAAGGAGTTCGACAAGATCTTCCCTGCTCTCGTGGCTGGTCTGCCTATCCACGTCTTCATGAGCGCCTACAGTGCACGAGAGGTGGGTCCAGAGATTTGGTCTGAGTCCACACCAGACCCCAGAGGCTGTTTCCTACTGTGGCCCCATGTTTTTAGACCTGTGTCAAAAATGTCTCTGGCAAGAATTTTACCCCACTGAAATGTATAAAAGACATTGGCCTACAAATTAGGTTTTGTGTTCAAATTCATAAAATCCATGCCTGCCGCCAGCATGTCTCCACAAACCATTGACCCCACCACCTGCAAAAGGATCAGTGAGGACGGCCACTGATGCTTGACATTTAAAAATGATGCAGTATACTATGCAGTATTTCCTGCCATTAAAATTCTAATGAGATTATGTATAAAATATCCGGTGAAACTTGTATGAAGGGAGAAAAAATCTTTCCTGTGACTGCCTATGACACAAATGGATAAAAAACTTCAGGTCTTTGAACACATGTTAAAGTTCATTATTTCTGTATTCATTATTGCTGAATGAATTATTTCATTATTATTCCCTTCATTCAAAGAGTATTTCAATGTCAACTTTAGTTGTATAGCACATAACAAGAAAACCAGCTTCCAAAAGTGCTTCACTGCAGACTTTACTTGTTGATATTAGCCTAAGCACAAATGAGTCTTCAGGATGGTTATCAAAGTCTCCAAGGATGCCTGGATATACAGACGTAAACTTTGAATAAACTCTCTGACCTTCCTGACCTGACAGGTGACACACCCACCTGTCTTCACACACAACACTTTATGAGATGGTTCACTCTCCTGTTCTCTCCCGTCTCCCAGAACCTGGCCAAGACCATGCACGCTGAGCGGCTGTCCAAGCGTGAAAATGTTTCTGACCTCATCTCCATGCGCATACTGCTAAACGACTCGCTGTCGTCTTTTAATGACATCAGCAAAGCGCGCACCCACGTGGCTTTGCTGTGGGCGTCCCAGGCCAACACGCTGCCCGCCACCTTCTGGAGCCTTTTCTACATGATCAGGTAACCACAGGAAATGTATGATACACATAGACACATATGATACATTTACCTTTACATACAGTAGGTAAATGTGCACTTTATTATGTCCTGGATCATCACTGTCCCCTGACCCTCCTACATCAGAGAGGAACCACTGAACTCATAAATTAACTATGAAGTGCTGTGTGTGTGTGTGTGTGTGTGTGTGTGTGTGTGTGTGTGTGTGTGTGTGTGTGTGTGTGTGTGTGTGTGTGTGTGTGTGTGTGTGTGTGTGTGTGTGTGTGTGTGTGTGTGTGTGTGTGTGTGTGTGTGTGTGTGTGTGTGTGTGTGTGTGTGTGTGTGTGTGTGTGTGTGTGTGTGTGTGCGTCTGGTGGAACTGGTCTGTGATAATGATGCACTGCCCAAACTGCCACAGGAGAAGTGTTGTGCTTCTATAAGTGCTTGTGTTATGTAACTATTACTCACTTGAACTCGATGGTGAAAGTGAGTCTTTTTTTAGAGTAACCTTGCAACAATTGGTTCTCCTCGTGCTCTGACACATTTCTCATGAGATCATTAGTCACTGTGATTATTAAATCGGTCTCATGGATATGAAAATGTATGTTGATGTCCTGCCTTCAGAGCAGAGTCACTAATAACAGACATGTAATCAGTGTAAATGTGTTCTAAGAAACCCCACTATGTTTGAACTCAAAAGACTTGAAACGCACTCATATGGTTCTGGCATCGAGCATTGGTTTTGTTGTCATTCTGTCTGTGCACTGGCTGTATATTAGCCCAGAATGTCCCACAGGTTTAACTTTTACTCAGACCATAGTTCTCTCATTACAGGTTGCCTTGTATATGACCTGTGCTTTACTTGCCTTGCCTAATATAAGAAAAACATGTGCCTATAAATGTCAATATGTGATTACAACAGCCCTAGTTTAGAAGTATCTTTTCATAGTATATAATGGAGTTTAGTTCTATGTATGGCATCCATTTTCATGTTTGACATCGTTTCTCAGACCACTTTGAGCCAGAGTGGTAAAAACGACCTCCATACTTACAGTCTATACACAACATATATACAGAACATGCAGAACAATGACTGTATACACACGGCTCCGTGGCGCAGTTGGCATCACAGTCAGAGTCCATACCCACGTCTGCTGGCTCCTATCGCTGATTTTATTGCGTGTCACGGCAGACAGAGTGGCCTGAAGGGAAATCCCACTGTAATTATCAAGGCTGTGCTCCAAGCTACAACAAGCCTGACAAGCTAATTAAAGAGCCCATAATTGTGATTATGTGTGTTCTCTTCTTAAACAGGAGCTAATAGAGTTGACATAGGCATTTCATGTCTTAAAATGTGATTGTAAGAATGCAGCCTTGCATACTTGTTGCATGTATGATTAGAGTTGACATGTATTTGCAGGAGTCCTGACGCTATGAGAGCAGCTCAGGCTGAGGTGAAGAGGGTCCTGGATGCAGCCGGTCTGACCCCTGACCCAAAGAACCCCACACTCAACTTGACCCGGGACCAGCTGGACAACATGCCAGTCCTGGGTACGTGCTCATTTACACCAAGGCGAGACCATCTTTGGCCTCTGACACATATTTAGATCCAGGTTTTCAGAAAAAAAGTTTAAAAAAAAGAGGACCACCCTCACAATCAGCTCTCAGCCCAAAGATTTTCTCGGTAGGAACTGAATATTATCAATATAATGAACAGTTGGCTTTTCCCACCTCTTTTGAGATGTTAAAGGAGCAATATGTAATATTTGCATTTCAAGTCATCATTAAATGACCCGAATATTTCAAAAGGTGTTATTAAATCATACTCTTTTCGAATTCATCTTTAACTGATAACAGTAGTTCAGCCGAGATATTTGATTATCAAAATTAGTTTTACGACCCGTAAAAGTTGTTATTGTTTTGATTTTGATGTCCTACCCTCCGCCGTTTCGCCAATCAGGAAGTGTCATGTAAGTCCGTGATCGTGTTGCCAGAACTCCGCGCGGCTCATTAATCTCAGTGGTAAAATAACATGTGGCGCAGAACTAAAAAAGGTCTTGTTATGACTCTCAAATCATTAATGACAAAACAAAGACTAAAACGAGGATTTATATCGGGATGCCTTTGAACAATTGAGACAGCTGATAAAAGTTCACGTGTGATGCAGAATTTTCTAGTTTCAGTCCGTTCTTCACGGTATCTCTACTTGTGTGAATCGTTGGTGTAGTGGTCTAAGCTGTGCGCTTACGATGCAGGAACCCGGGTTCAATCCCGGGCTATGTCTTTTTGTATTTATTGCATGTTATCACATTCTATGACAGATTGCTCTAAAAACGGTAAAAGATGAAGGTCAAGACGTTTTTTTGCAGATTATAGCTTAATTGTAAAAATAATCATTTAAGACCACATGTACCCCAATTAAAATAATGTTAGTCTCTTTTTGATGTGGGACTTTTACATGTTTGTCTAAAAAATAGGGAATAAATAAAATTGAAAGGTGATATCCTCTTGAGCAAACCCTGATGTTGATACGCTGAAGAAATACGTTCCAACATCCATTCTTCCCACTCCTATTTTGGACATCAATTGCTTATTTATTTTGCATAAACTATGTATAATTACATTGCTTTTATTTTGTTTTTGTTTTTTATCTCAAATGTCCAAATAATAATAATAAAAAAAACAGTAATCAAAACATTCATTCAGCATTAGCACGGCTGTCATGGCAATGCGAATGGAGACCGACAAACAACTGATAAAATAATTCCCTGTGTTTGCTGCTGGATTTGGTGTGAATCTGGCAACCTGAGTCAGGGAGAGTGGGAGAGGACTACAAAATATTGACTGTGACTGCAGTACCACTTTTGGCCAGATTTTTACATATGGCTCCTTTAACATAGAGTGTATATCAGGAGTAGACTGTCAGGAGTAGGACGATTGCTGAGGCAAGCTGGAGTTTAACCGCGAATGAAGGTATCTGAATGGCTCCTATCTGGATTTACAAAGGCAATATCACAATATTGTCTTGTCTGAGCTGGAGGAGTTTACTTTTACATGTAAGTCAATCGGAGCCAGAGCAAGTTGGAGCAAAACTTTGTCCATGGGCACTTACCTATTGGGCTTGATGAATATAGAGTCTATGTCTGTTACCTGTATTAAAATGTTCTTCACAACTCTCAGTAATGAATGATGAATTAGACCACGCTTTGTTAGATTTTGTTTTAACCACGTTAATACTTTGATCCATGTTGCAGTGTGGAGTAACCTATTGTGTCCCCACAGACAGTATCATGAAGGAAGCAATGCGTTTGTCCAGCGCATCGCTCAACGTTCGCGTCGCCAAAGAGGACTTCCTGCTTCACCTGGACAACCAGGAGGCCTACCGAATAAGGAAGGATGATGTCATCGCTCTGTACCCGCCCATGCTGCACTACGATCCTGAGATCTTCGAAGACCCCTATGTAAGCCTCACACAGTCTCAGTGGGCCAGTGTCTGCTTCTCATAATTTCACTAATTTCCCATAACTCAAGACAAGAGGTGAGGGTGGGAATGAGATTATCTCGCTAGCAGCCAAATAGGAAGTGTGCAATTCCCAAAAATAGATCATTTTAAAATCTGCATGTGTGCATGTGTGTGGGTGTGAGAGTGTGGGTGTGTGGGTGTGCATGTGTGCGGGTGTGTGTGTGTGTCTGTCATCAGGCACATCTGCAGATATGTAAAGTCCCAGATATTTGTGTTCAAAGAAAGTACACTTTCTAGGAACACAACAGGACTTCTACTTTACTTTTCCAAAGTAAAGTTAAAGTCTAGCGTCAACATTATTAGTGTACAATAATTATCACTATGTTTTCACATGTATTTGTTCCCGCTGTCACATATTCAGACAAAGAAAGAACCACCCTCACTCAGCCAATCAGCTCTCAGCCCAAAGAGTCAAATAGCGACTCACAGGACTCATATTTTCTTATGAGCTGGAAACCACATGACTTGATCTGTCCACAACATTTTACTTTCACAAGACTCTTTCTGCTGAACTGAAACTGAATTAATTATGATGGAAAGCTAATCAATTTTGATTATTTTGCAGGAGTACAAGTTCGACCGCTTTCTGGACGAGAGCGGGCAGGAGAAGACTATGTTCCACCGTAATGGCCGCCGCCTCCGCTACTTCTACATGCCTTTCGGCTCAGGCGTCACCAAGTGTCCCGGCCGTTTCTTCGCCGCCTACGAGATCAAGCAGTTCCTCACGCTGGTGCTGACCTACTTCCACATGGAGCTGCTGGATCCCGCCATGAAGGTCCCGCCCCTGGACCAGTCCCGCGCAGGCCTGGGCATACTACAGCCCACCTATGACGTGGACTTCAGATACAAGCTGCGCCACGAATTCTAAAGCGGGAAAGATGGAGGACAATGGGGAGTGGGACCTGCACCGAGGGGAGGAATGTCTAAAGCCCCATCTGCCTAACTTAGGTCCTACTTTACTCTTACTCTTCTCCACTCTCCTCTACTCTAATCTTCAGTATTCTACTCTACCCCTATTGGGAGTGTTTCCACCGGTCGTGTTTAACCAGTACTAGATCCTTCTTTAATCCCTCTTGGTCCTGGTTCTGTCCAGGCCAAACTGGTACTAAAGTGTTCTAACTGACAGTGATTGGCCAGAGTGCTGCTGGAAGCCGAGGTTACCAAAACATTTCCCCGGACAATGGTTTGTTGGGGGTAGTGTACTTGGCTACGGACTCATTTACTAAAGTGTAATGAAAACTTAACCAGATAGAGCAGAGCCGAGTAGAGTCGAGTCAAGCTAAGTAGAGCTTCTGGAAAAAGGGCTGAAGTTACAAATATAAAGAAAAGAATACTTTCTAGGTTTTAACAGACCTGGAGATGTTTTAGGCTTCATGCATGTTAATATGAACGTTGGGCCCCTTCTACGCTCCCCATTTCTAAATTGTTACAATGTGGTAATTACACAGACAACTGCAATACTGGAAATTATAACAAAAAATCTTGTAAAGAAGGCATGTCATTGCAAAATCAACTTTTTAACTTTTTAACCATAGAGTTGTGTTTAGATCCATCCACACTAATATCAGGAACTTCTAGCACAAACATTTTACTCTGCCCGTTCAGTCTAACAGCTCCTATCTCAGTCAATAGTGCTACTATGACATCACTCTCAGAGCCGTTCTCTGCCTTTTTAAAACAAAAGTTCTGCCCATAATTTAATTTTGATCACTTCTGTGTTTGCAGCTTTCTCTGGTGGCAGCATAGAGAACTCTCTTGGCTTACAGGCTGAGATTATGTTTTACCCTTCATAATTGTTTCATCGTATCTTTTCTCCTGAAGATCTTATTTCAGATTCTAATACATGAAATAGATTATATTATTATATAATGCATAAAATATCTTCCTTAGCATTTTTTTTCCTTCCCCCAAGTGATTTGTCAATGGAACATTCTTATAGGAAACAAGAATGGGCGGCACAGTGGCTGAGTGTATAGCACTCTCGCCTCTCAGCAAGAAGGTCCTGGGTTCGAATCCCGGCCTTTCTGAGTGGAGTTTACATGTTCTCCCCGTGTCTGCGTAGGTTTCCTCCAGGTTAAAATTATGTAAGACAAATGACAGTCCATATATATTCAAACTATTTGATTTCAGCATTTACTAGCATTTGTCTTGCCTTTTTTTGCAGTGATTTTCCAGTTGCCAGGTTTCTTACAACAATTACATCGTGTCATGTTAGAAGTTCAAACAGAATGTCATATGCATCATTCACTCGCCCAGCTCTATCATCTATACAATACAGGGAGGATTAGCTCCCACTCGCTCTGCCTCCTAAAGTGAACTCCTCTAGCTCAATAGCCGTTTGTGCCACACTCAACATAAACCAGGGTTTATCGCTGTCTGTGATCCTGGTGTTTATATGATGATATTGTCTTGGAAACTGGATAGGGAGAGGCAGGACTTCAGATCTCAATGCAGAGGGTCTGGTGAGGGCCATTCATTGCCACTTGCGAATAATATTGTTCATATGTGTATTTCACCCAATTTTCAGACTACACCTGGAAAGTCTATGACAATTGATTGTAACTCAAGAAGTCATGTTTTCTCAGTAAAGGAGATTAGACTGAAGGAGTGTGTACATACTGTTGATATGTAAATAAGAAGTCTTTGTTTTGTCTGTGCATTAATTAACTTCTGAAGAACATTTTATATGAAGTGGATGAGTTATTTATTAGACTCGTGTGTACAGTTGATGACGTGTGTATATTGAAAAGTGCCTTATATCCGAATGCCATTTCACTAAAGCCATTTCCCTTGTTTTTGTCAAAGCTGTGAAATAATTATGAGGAAATTTCAAACAATAAACAAAAAGAAAAATGAAAGAACGTTGTACGCTTGTATCCCTGGGGCAGCCGGGTATTTCTCCAATATATAACATTAAAACACATTAAAATAAAATGTTTTCCCATGGAACCCCCCCCCCCCCCCCCCTTATAAAATAAAAAATACAGATTATTTATTTACTTCTCAAGACTTACATGACTTCTGATCATATACTGCACATATGTTGTGCTTCAACATATTGTGAACTAATCACACCACAAGACACTCTCCTCATCTAATTAGAGTACATGTTATCTATGGCATACTTCTAGGGAGTCAATATTTGACTTTTTTCTCTGAAATACCCATAACAATGTGACAGAGAACAAAATACATGATGTGAAACTGGTGACAAATGTTCATGAAGTATAAATGTTGATAAAGTTCATAAATATGAAATGTCGAATGTCCTATAATCATTTTCTCTTCAACATTTCTTTCCAGTTTTCGTCTGCTCCATAGAGATGCACATGTCTCTACAGATATGACCTCCTTTTAAATCAATATTTTGTCATGAATTTCAGAAATCCACTGAGCCGGACGTGTCATTGATAGCATGATTCAGTGGGTGAGCGCCTCCTGCTGGATTCTCCTGTTGACCAATGCGAGCTTCCACCAAACACACAGCTACAGATCTAATCTTTATAACCAACAATTTAAAACAAATCTGTAAAGAGAAAAGTTGTGTAAAAAAAATATATGAAGAGTTTATTTAGAGAGTAAGAGTTTTATTACACAATAAGTCTGCTTGTATATTCAAAAGACATAAACTTTACTTGAAAGAAGAAGTCAAAGCTGCTCATGTTTGCAATAGATTCCACTGTCTGGGGGGAAAAAGCCCTTTCTGTCTAAAAGCTTGTGGCTGCATCTAAAAATTGCTAAATTACCTCCTTCCTAATCCATATTTGTCTTAATGGTTGACCTGTTGAGTTCGACCTTAAGGCGATAGAAACCTTAAGAAGAGCATCTCCTTGCCGTTGTGGGCTGCACCCCCTTCCCACCTGGGAGTTACTTCAGTCCTGCACCGCACCTCTCCGATCCCTCTCTCAATGTGGATCTCCCTGAGGTTTCTCACTTTTCCCCCATGGGTTTTAGAGATTTTCCTTGCTGATGCAGAATAGTCTGTTGGACTGTTAGTGTGGACTAACAAAAAGGACTGTGGTGGTGATCCAGGACACTCTAACAACTACAACATTTATTGACATTTATCAACATTCATGGACACTGGTCAACTCCCTAAATATCCTATATATTTTGTGTTTGAACTGCTTGATTCTATGATCTGTGTAGGCAATATCAACAGTTTTGTTAAGTCCTCTGAGATAACTACTGTTGTTAGGGCTATACAAGAAAATTTGATTAAATGGAATTGAATCAATACTCAAGCAGAACAATCGCTCAGCACCTTTCTCTGGCTGGATTGTGCCATGACACAAATGTATTAAGCTTAATATACCCATACGTTATAAAACACTACAGAAATAATAATACATCACAATAATACGATGTAATGCTGCAGATTAATCATGAGCTACATTAATGTGAAAAGTCTGATCAGCAGATTGATACACTGTGACTTATATTTTTTATGTATTGTTTATTTGGTTGGGATACATGTTAATGAACACATCACTCCGGATTATGGCCATGGGCTAATTTGCTAGCCTGGCTCTGCCAGACCCTTGTAGTTCCGCCATGCTCCACCAGAGGCGTTTGGCTGAACAGCGAACTACATGGGTCTGGCGAGAGTCAGGCTACTAATTTGCATCCGTTGTCCCACATTCGCACTCACAAACACACACTCATTCACCCTGAACTATTGCACATGTTTTTAGTGGTAGGGGAAACCGGAGTACCCGGAGGAAACCTACACAGACACGGGGAGAACATGCAATTTACACTCAGAAAGGCCTTGTTCCAACCGGGATTTGAACCCAGAACCCTCTTGCTGAGAGGCGAGAGTGCTATTCACTCAGCCCATATTAGCTGTAACAGCACGTTCTTCTCAGTGGGGGCGGGTCCCGGCTCAAAAGTGGCCAAAATTGTTAAAGTGTGGGTTTGTAGCAATAAAACAAGTCCAGCTTCTTTGCTCTGGCCCAACTGGGTCGGCATTTATTGAAGTGCCCCATTCAAGTGTACAGTCACAGTGTACTCCGGTTAAAGGCTCGCTCGTGGTGTATAACATATATGCAGTATAAACAATATACCATATTGTAACATCCTTTCTCTTTTAAGTTTTTTCTTTTTTTTTTCTTTTCCGTGCTTAATCAAAAATACACCTTTTAATGTAAACACAAATTATACTTCTGAACATATAGAACAATACAATTTCAATTGGCACTCTAGTCTTTGTAACGCTGTGGTAAACAAATAACTCTGCCACTTCTGGTCATCAACACATTGTTTCTATTTTGATTGGCTTGTCGTGCTGGTTCTGTTTGGTTGTCTTGTGGGTTTACAGTCTCTATGTACATAGGCACAGGTTGTGTTACTCCAGGAGCACGTCTGAGGTGTCTACGGTTCCTCCTGAAAACTGCACCCGAATCCATTTCAATCTCATATGATCTGGCGTCAATAGATTTCTTCACCATTCCCGGCCTCCATTTGGTGTGGGGCTGAAAAGGCTGTACTCTCACTGAGTCTTCTGGCTTCAGGGACTCCAGATCTCTGGCTGACCGGTCATAATAAGCACACTGACGGCGCTGGTTCTCACCCAGTGCCTGCTCTGCCTTTATCACTTCGGGTTGGAGAAGGCTGGATTTGACTGGGAGAAGCGTTCTTGTCCGACGGCTCAACAGCCTCTGAGCTGGGCTGGTGTCCAGGCCTTGTGACGGTGTATTGCGATGATCCAGGAGAGCCAGGTAAGGATCTTGTCCTGCTGCTTTAGCCTTGTGCAAGAGTCTTTTTGCTGTTTTTACGGCTGATTCTGCTTTGCCATTACTCTGTGGGTCCCCTGGAGATGAAGTTTTGTGTTCAAATTACCACAACTGGCTAAATCGCTTAAACTCT